ATACCTTCCTCAAAATACAACTCAGATAATTCCTCTACTTTAAAATAAAATTCAGCCCTAAAATTTGAAGGGAATTTGATTCCCCTTTTAAAATGTCTTCTTGGCCAGGCGCGGTGGCTCACGCCTGTAATCCTAGCACTCTGGGAGGCCGAGGTGGGCGGATCGTTTGAGATCAGGAGTTCGAGACCAGCCTGAGCAAGAGTGAGACCCCGTCTCTACTACAAAAATAGGAAAAATTAGCCGGGCGTGGCAGCACACGCCTGTAGTCCCAGCTACTCAGGAGACTGAGGGCTGTGGCAGGAGACTCACTTGAGCCCAGGAGTCGGAGGTTGCTATGAGCTAGGCTGACACCACGGCACTCTAGCCCGGTTGACAAAGCGAGACTTTGTCTAAAAAATAAAATAAAAAATCTTCTCGGTGACAATTAATGGAACTCATCCAGGGTTAAGATTAGGCTTGACTCGAGTATCTAAGTCACAAGTGGTCAAGGGCTGTTAGTGAACTCTAATACAACTAAGAATTAGCACTGTAAATGCTAGAATTCAGGAAAGTGGGGTAGAAAATATGAATATCTTCCAAGAGATTATAGTGCTTTACAGCAGAGATGATGAGATATAAAGAGAAAACAATCAAGAAACATCTATATTGTGTCTGGAAATAAGTTACAAATATATCACAATAGACATCAAAGCACTGATTCACTTCATTTTCCTGCCCTTCCTTCCTTACAAGACTGGAGTAAATAAGACCGCAATTTCTCCATCACTGCCAACACCATCACCCCCTCTTCCTCGTCTCATCTTCAGGAAACTCTAAGAGTTCCTGATACAGTAATTAACAATCATAACTGTCTTAAGAGAATCTAAATATAAACCAGGGCTCCCTAGAACCCTAACTGCTAGATATAGCCTGATTTTTTTTTTAAAAAGTTTGCAGGAAATAGATTAATTGCCAGCTTTCCACACATTTAAATTTTAAACTGTTAAGGTTTTTTAATGATAATTATTATTATTAAAGCATACTATACAAGTAAATATTTACGTAAAAATATCACATTAGGTCCAAATAAAACGTGGTTTTCTATCTTCTGATATTTACAAAAGAACAAAAACCCACACAAGTTTATAAAGATTATAGATCAAAATGCATCCCCTAAATTTGTTAAATTTAATGTTTACAATAACACGGTAGAGTGCTAAAAAATCTTACAATACTAATATTGACATATTATGCTCTTTGTTGGTTGGATTATAAAAGAATTGCATAAAGAGCAATTATAATGATTTACCTGCTTAGATTTCCTGTTTTAAACTCAATTGCACTTTTCTAATTCTCCATTTACATGGTCATAATCACAATCGCAGCAACTGTGACTCTTAAATAATTTTTTAACAGCATTCCTAATTAGATAATGAAAGTTAAGATTTCAGTAGTGTCTAGAATAAGTCAACAGCTGCCCTAGGAAAAACCAAGACACCCAGCAAGCCATGGTAAGGGGAAGCTTTTCAGTATAACACAAATGCAGAAGGACACTTACCTCGACAATATTCCATTAAGATAAGCACTTCCCATACATTATCACTGACTGAATTAACAGCACAGTCCAAATAACCCACGATATTTTTGTGACCAGATAGCTCTTTCTGTAAATGAAAAAAAATTAAAAACTGAAAAACATACATTTTAAAAGCTATATAATTGAAGCATAAATTAATGTGTTTCAACAATTTCGAAAGGTAAGATGTATGAAACTTAATATTCAACCAACCACAAACTTCTATGGTCTCAGTTGAATGTTTACCTGCATGTGACTGTCATTTTCCAACAGGCAGATACCAATGAATATTTATTTTTAGGAGAAGATGGTTCACTCAAAAGTAACAGACTCCAAAAGTATACAAGATAATCTTTTGGGATTCCAGAATAAAATATTAGAATTTTTATTATATTTATTTTTCTCTTAAAAAAAGAAATTAAGCTCTAATACTTATTATCTAACAATTACACTCTCATCTATTTTGCCTGCAAGATACTGCGATTTATGTGTGGCTATTACATGGATTTATGGATATATATATTTTTAACAAAATAACCTAAAAAAATGAACAAGAGGCTAAAAAAGATTACGAAAAAGAAACAAGTTAAAAATAATACCATAATAACAACACAAGAACAAGGAAGTAAAAAATGGCAAATCTGAAACTTCTGCTTCTAGTGTATGATAGTCATCAGCA